AAACTTAATTTTTTAATTAAAATTAGATTATATAAAATTGAAATAATTTTTGAAATTTGCAAAACTATGAATGAATCTTATCTTCATATTTTATATAAAAATCGTTTTTCTACAATGATATTTTTCGATTTAAATATAATAAATAACTTATATTTATTTAAAATCATCTAATATATAAAGTAAAACCTCTTATTTATTTATAATTTTTATATAAATATTTTCAATTGATTATTTAGTAGTGTCAATTGATTTTTCTAAAATATTATCTAAATTGATTTAACAATTTTAAAATTTTAGTATAATTTATTTATTTATTAAATTTAAAATTTTAAAACTAATGTATAAAATACCTATCAATTACTTAAGATTATTGATATAAAAAGCTTACATATTCCTTTAATTAAATAAGGTTCACTACTTTGTTAGCATATCATTATTGCACGCTCCTCCCTTCATTCGGTACTCTATTTTTGGTCTAATACATGATAAAATTAGCACACAGCAAACGTATAATACCACCAAAAAAAAAAATCAATTTGGTTAATTCTCATAAAAAAAGTGTTCTGGGTCTCCATTCTTTTATCTCTCCAACACATTGGAGGGAATCTGTTATTGTCTCCAGAATTTACGTATATAGTAAGTTCTTAAGTGCAGATAATTTCAGGTATTATTTAACGTTTTTAGTTATGTATTTGATTTTTATATGGACGCTGAATTAAATTTACAAAACAGAATGTTATTATGTTTTATTTCTCATATTAGTACCATTTTTCCAACCAAAATGAGATATTAGCACAATCCACTAACTTGTTGCGTATGTTGTTGGCAAAAACGTTTTTCCCGTATCGCCTCAACCTTCTAATAATAGAAAATTTCACTATGAGGTAAAGATTGTAAATTTAATGGTAAATTTAATCGTGAATGTAATCACTTTTTAATAGTATTTTAAGAACTCTTAAAATGTTTTAGAGTTAATTAGCAAGAATACATAATTGAGCCTATTTTTAAATTTATATAAGATAGATTAAAACTCGAATGTACAAAATATGGAAATCATGAATTTTTTTTTGAAGATGATAGGATAATGTTATAATAAAAAGTGAACAACGATTATAAAAAATTGGAGTAACAACTACAACCATATGTACAATTTAGAATTAAATGATAATTCAGAATGTTTTAATATCTCTCGACCCGGATTTTGGATTACTAAGACTCCTTTTCCTGAAAACCAGAATGCAAAAGAAAAAAAAAACAATTAGAATATCACCACAAAGTCTCTCTCGAATTGTCACACCAATCTATTTAAGATAAAGAACTCTTAACTTTAAAACACTGAAAAAACAATCTCACGCAAACAATTTTATCAAATCTACCCGTTGAAATTTGACAAGATGAGTCATTTGAAAAAAGTATCATTTCTACATTTTCAAATTACCCAACAAATAATTAAACCAAAAAATCATCAACCCGAACCCAAAGACAAATCTTGTTCCAAAACAGGACAATTACAAAAGAGATGATCTAAATCTTCCTCAACACCAAAACAAAGAGAACAAACCAAATTATGACAGTGCCTTAACACCCCACGCTTGAGAAATTCCGACTTCGTTGGAAGTCTTTTCTAAAGTAATCTCCACCCAAACATTTAGATTCTACTAGGGACCTTAGTTTTCCACAAACTAACCCAAGTCAAGAAATGTTGAGCATCCATCTCGCACGTTCGTGATTCCTCTTTCAAAATACAATTATAACAATAGGGGTGTGCATGGATCAATAACCAAACCAAATTGAACCATATATATGATTTGGTTTGGATCTTAAAACTACTTCATTAAAACCGGTTTATATTTCTAAAATCGGTTTACATGTGGATCGGTTCGGTTTTGAACCGGTTTCTCACAAAAACCAGTTTTTAAAAAGAAACCAATTTTAAACTGATTTTTCTAAAAACCAGTTTTTAATTTTCTTTAAAAAATCGATTTCAAAACCAATTTTATAAAAAACCAGTTTCAAAATCAATTTTATAAAAAAAACCAATTTTAAAATCAATTTAAAAAAATAAAGTTTTATATCAAAAATAATTTACAAAGAATATGTAACAACTTGGAGACTTGTGTTGATTGTGATTATGGAAACGAGATGTAAACTTGATAAACTGAAGAAAACTTTTCACTTGTTAGGTTTCTATGGATTTATAGCATCTAAAAATTCTGTTTTTCGGGAGGTATCATTGTTGCTTGGTTAACTACCAGTAAACTATCATGGCAGCAAAGAGTGCTTTTTTACAGCAACTTATGTGAGTCCTTATGAAAACCTTAGAAAGGAGTTGTGCGAGAAATTGAAGAACATATATAGAAAACAATATGGTTGAAGCTTGGATGTTGGATGGTAGGGGTGTGCATAGTTCTCAAACCAACCCGAATTGAACCAAATATATGGTTTGGTTTAATTCTTCAAAACTGTTTTTGTAAAACCAGATTATTTTTTTAAAACTAGTTTATATTTGGATTGATTCGGTTTAAAACGGGTTCCTATTAACAACTTGTTTTTTATTTGATTCAGTTAAGATTAGTTTTTCTTAAAACTAATTACATCAATTTTTTGTTTTAATCAATTTTTTTGCTTAACCAGTTTGAAACTTTTACGCATATTATGCTGGAAAACATTAGAAGGTTCAGTCAACATATTTTATTTTACTGTATTATTTATTTTCTAATAATATTCGATATGTGAAGAGTTTTTTTTAAGTAAGTTTGGTGTTTGGTCTTGTATATATAATTGAAATTTGATTATAGTATTATGAAAGTTGAATTTCAAAATGGAGATTCATGTCTTAGATTGATGAAACTCAACTTCCATTACTGTGTTGTCATTCAAACACATTTGCAGGTAAAATATATTATAGTGTATTTTTAAAACTAAAAAAATAATATTTATTGTAATATATTTAATGTTGGGATCCAAGAAAAAATTAACTGTCATTCCAGTTATTCAATTTGTAATGGTTTGGTTTTTGATATGTTGGAAATTTAGAGAAATACTTTTTAACATTTGAGTAAATTAGTAAATTGGATCAGGAACAAGAACTGAATTTCAATAAAATGGGTATCCAATGTTATTGGTTTTTCTTTAAATGGAGTGGGTTAGTTAATAACCAAATGGTTTGGATTTTTTATATTTGGAAACCAATTTTATGGTTATGGATTGGATGAACCGGTTAAAATGCACACCCCTATATAACAATTATTAACGGAGTAACCATTACCATTTCTCCACCAAACCAAAGAATTTGCAATTGAGCAACGCGGTTGAACCAGAAGCAACAAAAACAACAAATCTCAAGTCTGTGTTGGTGCTATTCAAACAACCGAACAAATCCGTCACCATACAGACCAAACCCAAACACTATCGATTCACTCTCTCATATGAGAAATCTTCGGATAAAGAGAATCCGCCAACAAAAATAAATCCGAAAATAAATTATAAAGTGGTAAAAGACTAATCCACCAATCACACCAAAAGTCAATGTAAAACCATCACCAAATTTATATGAGATAGAAGAAATAAACCAATTGATCAAGGGTTCCAATTTCAGTCTTCCAACCGCAAAAAAATCCCTCTGTTTTTTTTTATTATAGATTTTTGCATGATAGGTCTAAAGAAGGTGGAAATGTATATTTGTCACCTTTAGTTTAATTGAAGCACCCAACTCTATTTTGATTTTTTTTTTTTAACTATTTATTTTCTTGACGATATCATTAACTCTTGAATTACATGCACCTCTTCTCTGATCTCTGCGAGACTGAATAGTTACATGCACCTCTCCTCATAGATGATAATAAGTACAGGGTTCCAATTCCAAGAGACCTGAATACAATAACGAGACTAAAAGAAGTATACAGTATGCTATTATTATTTTATAGACAAATATTAATAATTCATTTGTCAAGGGCATAGAAAATTAAAGGTGGTAAAACTGATTCGACATATTAGACATGTCCGTTCTATCTATATTTTAATATAGAACGGGTTAAGAATTTAAATCTTACTCTTAATGTGACTATTCTATTCTGTTTCATTCTTTTTTGCGGATTTTTGCATGCATGATTATTAGTATAAAATTTTATATTTTTAGACTTAAAAAATGCAATGTCTGTGGGCTTTCTCTATTCCGCACTCATTTTTTTTTGTAAAATAGGTTTAAATTTTAAATTTTCATCTTCAATTATGCCCACCCCGTTCTATCCCATATTTTACAGACTTTTACAAAACAAATCTAAATAGAATAGACATGTTCGTTTGCCACCTCTTAACCATACATTAAATTCAGGACCATTTACATAAAAAATAAATCATATCAGTTGGTTTTTAAAAAGTTGTAGAAATAAGTTATATTTAAATACTTATCTGATATTTTAAATAAATTTTAAAAAAAAACAATATGATATATATTAATGCACTCGATACGACTTTTACAATTTTAGTTGGTACAAATATATTGTGATATTAATTGCGATCATCGTTGTGTAAATTTACCATAAATTTTTTTTTTAAATGTGATAATAGTATCGATATTAACATTTGCCAATACAATTTTGTCTTAGTTCTTTTTGCGGTCCGATTTAATACTATTTTGTGGCAATCGATTTCGTTGTTACGGGAATGCTTTTTTAAATGCTGCTATATATAATATTGTTTATTATTATTATTATTATTATTATTATTATTATTATTATTATTATTATTATTATTATTATTATTATTATTATTATTATTATTATTATTTTTAAATATCAAACTATAAACCTGCCCACTCTTCTAAAAATTAAAATTTTGTCATATTGCAGAAATTGAATACTTTGTGGTAGACCCAACACAACACAAACCGTTACTAAATTGTCCCATAAATAGGGTCTTATCCTGAGTCTCTTACAAACAACCTCTTTATCCCCTCACTAGCATCACAGACACCTCAAATTGTTGAGACCAGGTGAAAAATGATGAAAATCCACATCATATGGTTCTTTTCCATTCAAATTTTGCTGCATGTTTCATCCTCAAGCAGTGGAAAAGTTCCAGCTTTAATAGTTTTTGGAGACTCATCTGTTGATTCTGGTAACAACAATTTCATTCCAACAATAGCAAGAAGCAACTTTGAACCTTATGGTAGAGATTTTCCTAATGGAAATCCAACTGGTAGATTCTCAAATGGTAGATTAGCTCCTGATTTCATCTCCGAGGCGTTTGGACTTAAGCCAATTGTTCCTGCTTATTTGGATCATTCTTATGACATTACTGATTTTGCTACTGGTGTTTGTTTTGCCTCTGCTGGTACTGGATTTGATAACATTACTGCAAGTGTTGCCGTAAGTTCTCAACTAATAAATTTATTACATTCAACGTTCAATCATATTTTCATGCATCATACTATTAACTTTTTTTCTAATTCATACTAAGCTTAGTTTTATGGTATACGTATATTTCAGGATGTGATACCTTTATGGAAAGAAGTTGAGTATTACAAAGAATATCAAAACAGATTAAGAGCAAAATTTGGAAACAAGAAAGCTAATGAAATAATAAATGAGTCTTTATATTTGATTAGCATAGGAACAAATGATTTTCTTGAAAATTATTACCAACGTCTTGAAAGGAGGTTGCAATTTAGTGTTCAAGAATATGAGGATTTTTTAATTGGACTTGCTGAAAATTTTCTAAGGGAAATTTATGACCTTGGAGCAAGGAAAATTTCTATGACAGGGTTGATTCCTATGGGGTGTCTGCCACTAGAGAGGGCAATAAATATTTTGGGCCATCATGGTTGTAAGGATTTATACAATGATGTTGCTTTGGACTTTAATGCAAAATTGGAATTCTTAGTGGCTAAGTTAAACAAGGAGCTCTATGGACTTCAATTGGTATGTACAAATGCTTATGATTTGGTCATGCAAATTGTTACAGAACCTTCTCAATTTGGTAAGTTTACTTTTACTTTCTCTTAAAGAATTTAACAATACAACATATTCAAAATTGGGTTAAAAAACTCATAACCTTTTTGCATCATTGCTTTTATTTTATCTACTTTATAGTATAAAATTATGACAATTCTACACAATGAGTAATTAATTGCTTCTTAAAAGTTTGTCTCATATTGCTACCTTTCTTAAGAAGTGTATTTCATCATACACTGTCTTCTAAAGAATTAAATTCATATGGTTTGGTTAAATTATGTGGACCTAATACAACTTTCAAAGCATAAATAAATTGTGATAAATAGCACACCACATTCATTGAGCCACCTGTCCAATTAAACCTGCATGTCAGAAAGTGGATCGGTGGTACATCAAATTAGTTTCCACTTAAATAGAAAAACTAACCCATCATTTTATATCTATAATTTGAATACTCTCTGCATAATTTTCTTTATACTATTCTTCAAAGTAAACCAATGCATATAGAAATTTTTTGTTGAATTAATTATGGGAGATAATGATCAAGACATACTGACCACTACCTAAAAAAAAATTCTCAATCATCAACCCACTTTATATCATCCAACTAACCCCTCCCAAATGCAAATTCATTTTATACAACAAAATCAATGTTAGTATACCTCAATAAGTTACATAAATTGGTGAGTACATTATCATTCAATTCTCTTAATATGTAAACATTAAATAGCCCCCTATGTGCCGTAAATGTTACGGTATTAAATTAAAAATAATCAATTTTTGAACATGATCAGGTTTTGAAGATGCAAGAGTGGGATGTTGTGGAACAGGTAGATTTGAGATGGGTTTCTTGTGTGATCCAAAAAGTCCACTTACATGCACAGATGCAAATAAATATGTATTTTGGGATGCTTTTCACCCCTCAGAAAGAACAAGTCAGATAGTAGCAAATTATTTAATGGAAAAGTATCTTGGCGAGTTTCTTTGATTCAATACAAGAGCAACAGATCCTTCCAACTCTCTCGGGAACTTACATTTTATTCTACAATGGGAAAATTTACTATTTTGTAAATGTGATTATATTTCTTATAAACATAGTTTATTGAAGTGAGTATAAGGATATTTAAAATCCATTACAAAAGTTTTAACAAATGAGTGTTTAGAATCAATTTTGATTTTAACAAGGACAACTTCTTTATCCATCGTAAAAAATTAGATAGTATATATTCCATCAATTATATTATAGTATTTAATTTATCTTATTTAATTATATATTAAATATTTTATTTTTATTTTTTAAAATAATTTTATTCTAATACCAAATTTTTGTGTGTTGGGTAATTAAGAATTTAAGTTAAACATCTTCGCCAACAAAATACGAATTTTTTTTTTGAATAACCATGTATTAAAAATTTTTTTCCGCAAATAACCGCGTTTTGGAAAAAATTACGCAAATAACCATGTTTCAGATGACTCCCCAAAGGAGGAGTCATCTGAATTGGTGCTTACTCCCATTTTTTAAGGGGATGCGCCATCTCACTTGGCGCCTATGTGCTTAGGGCATGCCCTAAGCCAAGTGAGATGGCGCCTAGGTGTTATTTTAGAGCAAAATTTGATTATTTTTTTTGTCCGGTGCGTTGCGTATTGGATACAAGATCAACAAAATGGACTTTTTATTAAAAAAAATTAATTACATCCAACTGTATTACATTAAAAAAACAGATAAAAAAAACAGATAAAAAAAAACAGATAAAAAAAAACAGGAAAAAAAAAACAGATAAATCAGTGATCCTCCGGAACCCGGTAATGACCCCCGATTCCGCATCCCCGTCCTCGTCTTTCCCGTGCTGGGTGTCGTCGCGTTTCCTACTGCGGCAGGGTCGACGGCCCAGCGAAGTCAATGCGGTCCGGATCCATAAAATCAATCAGATCTCCATATCTAGAAGATCCGCTTTGGTACAGTCGGTTACTCATACCCTCAAAGTTTGGTCGTGTTGGCGGTGGGTGGGGTTCCATGGTGAGTCTGTAGCATTGATCGTCTGAGTACGGTTGGTAGAAAGGAAATGGATCTTGGGGTGTTTGGTATTGAGGATGTTGGGTGGTTTGGTGATATTGTGGTTGATGGTAGGCTGGGTCGGTTTGTTCGTAATCTTCTGACATTCCCATATCAGGGCTAAGGCTGGATGTTGAGGGGCCCATATTGGGATATACGGAAGACTGAAAATGTGTGTAGGGTATGCGGGTGTGTTGGTATTGTGATTGGTATTGTGGTTGGGTGTGAGGCATATCGGGGTATTGGTAGTGAGGTGGTGATTGTGGTTGGTTGTGTGGCATTTGAGTGTAATTGTGTTGTGGTAGGGACTGTGGTTGGGTGTTTGTGGGTCTGTTTCTTCTTGGGGGTTGGTGGGAGGTTGATGGGTTTTGGGTTTGTTGTTGGGGAAACGAGGGTTGTGCCCATTGTGTGCGTGGGTCAGCCAAGTACCTTGGATGAGACACGTGCATTTCAGGGTTACTAACCGACCCGTACCAAGATAAATATTGATCCGTGTGTCGCATATTACCATGATTAAGGAAAACCGGGAATTGCAAGACATAGCGGTGACGCCTCTGCCACATCTTACACCATTTCGAAGCGAAGTCTTTCCAGTTGGTAAGACCCCACTGGGCGTCGACCCTTTTAAGATGCCATGGGGACAAACAAGTTGGATCACTTGGTATCTCTTGATGCATTCCGAACTGCATCTTCACACGACCGCTGTGGTGTATCTCCACAATGTTAAATCGAATGATTGCAGTCTTCGCGGTCCAAATTGCTGCATCCTCCGGGTTTGGATCATGGCCCAAACCCAAATATGGTCTCCAGACGAACTGCGATAAAATTTAAATCAGGTTAACGCAAAAGTAATGTATAAATAATTTAAATGAAGAAAAGTTTAAAGCTATGACGTACATCATCCGGGCCTAAGTGATCCAACAGATTGCGGTATAGTGCGACATTGAATCTTGGATTCTTTCCGTAATCCATACCCCTCACACAGTACCTAAAGGAAATGATAAATATTTTATTCTTAGCATATATTTGCAGAAGAGATGAATAGTAATAAATGATATAACTTGATGACTTACTTTGTTGCGTACGGGAAAACGAAAGTGTTGTTGTTGACGGGGTTTAAGGACTCCATCCTCCACCAACCCCAGGCTTGTAGTAAAAAAGTGCACCCATAAAATGTACATTTTTCCTTGACTGCATTTTTGCACAAGGAACTGTATAGGTGGGCTAAAACTGCAGAACCCCAACTATATTTTCTTGTTTTTTCAAAATTTCTTAGTAAATATAAATACATAAATTTTACACTATTTCCCGTACTTTCGGGAAATAAAAAGGTACCAAATAGTATCATAAGATAAGTTCTGGCTTTTACTACCCTGTCTTGCTCGGAGGAATTTTCGTTTAATTCCAAACTTGCATAATGACTTTTAAGCTCAGTGAGTAGTATTCCCTGACCTCTCGCACCATTACCTTCAACCATATCCCTGCCCAACAGTTCTTCACACTGAGAGTTAGGTTGTTGAACCGACCCGTTCACGGCCTTACCGTCGACAGGGAGACCTAGTAGTATGTACACATCCTCTAGCGTGATGGTACATTCACCTATTTGTAGGTGAAATGTATGGGTCTCTGGTCTCCATCTTTCCAACATTGCAAGAATGAACTTCGAATCAATTGTGCAGTTGGAGATCTTTATGACATGTCCAAAACCTGCGTATTCCAGATATGGTACGATAAATGGGTCGGGAGCCAGGTAGTTGTGAGAACAGATTCTGAATCTTTTGGTGTCCTGAGTTCATAATGTAAAAGGTGTAAGATTAAGTAAGATGAACAAAGCATTATCTCAAATATGAAAAATGTATAACCAAAATAGAAACTTACAAATGCGGCAATGTTTTCCCTTGTGCCTCTGTGAGAATCGCCCATTGTTAGAAGAGCCATTGTTTAAAATGCTTGAGATTATGAAAGACTTAGAAAGAGTAAAAAAGTATGAAAGACTTAGAAAGTGTAAGAGATTATGAAAGATTTCGTAGCAGAGAGTGAGACTTGTGTGGGTGTGAGAGATGTATGATATGGTATATATTTATAGGCAAAAAAATTTCATATAGTGGTTACTAGTGCTTGCATGCATGCGAAGTGTCACTCTTGCAGGCTAGGTGGCAGCCTAGGGGGTTACATATATGCATGCATGTATAAAAATGAAAGGTGTCACTCTTGCAGGCTAAGTGGCAGCCTAAGGATGTATCACGATTGGACAGTAAGGGAGGCACCATTGGACTTGGCGAAAGAGTACAAAAATGAAAGGTGTCGCCATCCCAATTGGCGAATAAGAGGTGTCCTTGGTTGCAGGCTAGGCTCAGGCTACGTGACAGCCTTTGGGATGCCATGCCTGAATGCATGTAACCCTATTAGAGGTGATGGGAGGAGACTTACAACATACAGTATAGGTGCAGAGTAGGCACAGGCTAGGTGGCAGCCTAGGGGGTTACATTTCTACATGCATGTATCACGATTGGACAGTAAGGGAGGCGCCATTGGACTTGACGAAAGAGTACAAAAATGAATGGTGTCGCCATCCCAATTGGCGAATAAGAGGTGTCCTTGGCTGCAGGCTAGGCTCAGGCTACGTGACAGCCTTTGGGAAGCCATGCATGTAACACTATTGGCAGCCTTGGGGGTTACATCCTTACTTAATTGAAATTTTTAGTCTTACGTTTATCATAACATTGATTCACTTAATCTGTCAAATCTTCCAACCTTCAAACGTTCTTACAATCAAACCTTCAAACCTTCAAACAATCAAACATACAAACCTTCGAATAACTCATAAAGTTCAAACATTCCAACCTTCAAACCTTACAATATTCAAACCTTCATACAATCAATAAACTTCAAACATTCCAACCTTCGAATAACTCATAAAATTCAAACATTCCAACCTTCATACCTTCAAACCTTCAAACAATCCTACGCAATGGCCTCTGCACCACAATTTGTCGTCAAAGCACATTTCAACGGTGAGACATACATTTGTCCCACCGCTGGGTTTTTGTTTAGAGACACAGACAACATCCGATTTCTCTTAAACGGGAAAGCCAATTTCTCGTACTTCAAAAAACAATTGGAGGCCAAACTTAGACGAGGCCCGGTGACCCAGATATTTTATCAGAATCCAGTTTTTTTTTGAAACAACCAAGTAATTTTTCATAAGGTTGAAGTCCAAGATGACGAGGATCTCCAAAATATATTTTCCAGCCATGTGTATTCTGGGTACGACTCTATTGAGTTGTACGTTATGCTGCGAGAGCCTCAGGTGACACAAGTGGTTGATCCTTTGGAGAATGAACAAGCTGAGGTAGATGCAGTTGATGATGAAGAAGAAGATGACGAGTTAGAGTTTGATGAAATGGTGAATGATGATTCCGACGATGATGGCATACCTAGTATTCCTGCAAACGAAATCTACACACCACCTCCGCACATGACAAACTTCAACATGGGCAGAGATGAACCTTCTACTGACTTATTTTTCAATCCGTATATGCAGTCGGATGAAAATTTAAAAGAGAAGGACAAGTTTCGTAACAGAGAGGAATGCATCAGAGCCATCAAAAAATTCCACATGCTCAACTCGGTTGATTTTAAGGTGGACCGTGTCAACCCAGAAAGGTACAAGATCAAGTGTGTCCACCCTGACTGTATGTTCAAGCTGACCGCATCATACAGATTAAGAGGTGACTTCTGGGTCATAGGTTCCATGACTACCCACACTTGTGTAAGTTCCACTCAATCACAGGACCACTGAAAACTTAACTACGATCTCATCTGTCAAGAAATCCTACCCCTAGTCAGCAACGACCCATCTTTGAAGGTGAAAACAAGCATCTCCCACATCACCACAGTTTTTAACTACACTCCGTCTTACTGTAAGGCGTGGT